TTCGTCTTCCCATTTTGCTTCAAATCTAGCCACTTCAGGTATCTTCTTTGGGGGGTATAATACATCTGTTGTTTCTAGCCCATGGATCATTGATACAGGGGCTACAGATCATATGACAGGTTCTTCTAGTCTCTTTCATCAATATACCCCTACTTCCGGTAGAGACAAAGTTCGTGTAGCTGATGGAACCCTCTCTTCCATCGCTGGAAAAGGGTCTATCAATTGTTCCTCCACTCTTCCCTTGTCTTCTGTTTTACATATTCCATCATTCTCTACTAATCTCCTTTCTATTAGTAGTTTGACTCGAGACTTAAATTGTAAAGTAACTTTTTTCCCTTCTTACTATATTTTCCAGGATCTGGTAACGGAGAAGGAGATTGGATATGGTAGATTGGATGGTGGTCTTTATCTGCTCGAGGGTAGTGGGGTTTCTATTTCTATGTCGTGTACTACGCCCTATCAAGTTAATTCAGCATTGACAGATCTCCATCAGTAGCACTGTAAATTAGGTCATCCCCCTTTAGGAACTTTAGAAAATGTTTTCCCGAGTCTCGTTTCAGCTTGTAATAAAGATGAGTTTTTTTGTGAAGCTTGTGTCTTTGCTAAACAAACTCGTTCTACATATTCATCTTCAAATAATAAAAGTCGTTTCCCTTTTCATGTGATTCATACTGATGTGTGGGGTCCTTCCCGACGTACTTCTATTTCTGGTCATCGATGGTTTGTTACTTTTATCGATTGTCATTCTCGTGCAACTTGGGTTTATTTGTTGAAGCATAAGAGTGACGTTTTTCGTTATTTTCAAATTTTTCACAAAATGATTCAAACTCAATTCAACGCCACTGTGAAAATTCTTCGCATTGACAATGGCATTGAGTACACTGAAGGTCAGTTTCAACGGTATCTATTTGATCATGGCATTATTCATCAGACCAGTTGTGTTGATACCCCAGCACAGAATGGTGTTGCCGAAAGAAAGAACCGACATTTGTTAGAGGTCGCCAGGTCTCTTATGTTTGCACGTCATGTCCCTTCTCAGTATTGGAGTGATGCTATTTTAATCGCTGCCTATTTAATCAATCAGATGCCGACTAGAATTCTTGATTTTCGCACACCTATTGATGTTTTATAAGGATCATCAACTTTTATTCTTCCTCCAAAAATTTTTGGTTGTGTTTGTTATGCTCGTAACACTACCTCTAAGAGTAAGTTGGAACCCCGCGGTCTCCACTGCATATTTCTTGGGTATTCAGCTACTCAAAATGGTTATAAGTGTTATCATCCTCCTTCTAGGCGCAGTATTATATCTATGGATGTGATTTTTCATGAGTCTACTTTTTATTATTCTGCTCCACCTCTTCAGGGGGAGTGTCCTAGTGTAGAGGTGTTGCCAATTCTAGATGTTCCTAAGGATATTACTTACTCTTCTCCTTCTCCTCCTTCTCCTCCTCCTCCAATAGTCTCTGATTGTTCTCCTTCTCCTTCTCAAGAGGAGAACGATGCAACGCAAGTAGAGAATAATGCAATACTTCAGGGGGAGATATCAGAGATTCAGGGGGAGACCACACCTGCTAAGCAAAGTATGGGTATCTTTCAAAGGCGGATTAATAGTGGGGAAACATTGAAGATATATCGTCGTAGGAATTCCACTACCAACACGCAGGTTAAGACCACTGATACATTGCCTATTCAGTCATCATCTTTGGATCCGGATTCTACCACTCCTTCTGATGAGGTTTCTCCTTCTGATCTTCTTATCGCACTCCGAAAGGGTATTAGAACTTGTACTCAACATCCTATATCCAACGTTGTTTCATATGACTCTTTGTCCAGCTCTTATCGTACTTTTGTATCTTCTCTATCTTCTGTTTCTATTCCACGGAATTGGCAAGAAACTTTTGCAGATGAGAAGTGGAAGACAGCAATGGTGGAGGAAATGCATGCTTTGAAGAAAAATGACACGTGGGATCTTGTTGTTCTTCCTCCTGAGAAACAACCGGTAGGATGTAAGTGGGTGTTTGTAGTCAAACAGAATATGGATGGTACTGTAGACAGATATAAAGCACGGTTGGTGGCGAAGGGATTTACTCAGACTTATGGGATTGACTATCAAGAAACCTTTGCTCCTGTTGCCAAGTTGAATACTGTTCTAGTGTTACTTTCGTGTGCTGTAAACCAGGGATGGGATCTTCAGCAGTTAGATGTGAAGAATGCCGTTCTTCATGGAGAGTTAGAAGAGGAGGTATATATGGAGATTCCTCCAGGTTTTTCTTGTGACAAAACTCAAGGTAAAGTGTGTAAGCTGAAACGTGCACTTTATGGTTTAAAGCAATCACCTCGAGCTTGGTTTGGTAGGTTTCAGAAAGCTATGACCCTTGTTGGGTATAAACAAATTAATGCTGATCATACTTTGTTTGTGAAGAGATCAGGTGCTAAAGTCACTATTCTTATTGTCTATGTAGACGACATTATTGTCACAGGGAATGATACTGATGAGATAAGCCGGTTGAAGAATTTTCTTGGACAAGAATTCGAAATAAAGGATCTTGGAAAGCTCCAATACTTTCTTGGGATTGAAGTTGCCAGATATTCAAAAGGTATCTTTCTATCCCAAAGGAAGTATGTCCTTGATCTTTTAACAGAAGTTGGGTTATTAGGATGTCGTCCCTCTGATACACCTATTGAGGTCAATACTCGTCTTCGAGAAAAGGATGGTGATCCCGTAGATAAGGGTCGTTATCAACGGTTAGTGGGCAAGTTGATTTATTTATCACACACCAGACCTGATATTGCTTTTGCTGTGAGCCTAGTGAGTCAGTTTATGCATGATCCATACTCTACTCATATGGATGTTGTTCTTCGAATTCTTTGATATTTGAAGTCTGCTCCCGGAAAAGGGATTCTTTTATCTTCTCGTGATGGCTTGAAAGTTGAAGCCTATACAGATGCTGATTGGGCTGGATCTCCTGACCGAAAGTCTATATCTGGGTATTGTACTTTCTTAGGAGGGAATCTTGTGACTTGGCATAGCAAAAAGCAAAATGTGATTGCTCAATCTAGTGCTGAAGCAGAATTTCGTGCAATGGCACATGGAGTTTGTGAACTGTTATGGCTTAAAGGATTACTTGAAGATCTTGGTGTATATGTTCCTATTCCTATGATGCTATATTGTGATAATAAAGCCGCCATTAGTATTGCTCACAATCCTGTACAGTACGACTGTACAAAACATGTGAAGATTGACAGGCACTTTATCAAAGAGAAGTTGAAGAGTGGTTTAATTTGTATGCCCTTTGTTCAATCCGGTGATCAACTTGCTGATGTGTTGACTAAAGGATTGGGGAGTAAATCGTTTCATCTTGTTTTAGTCAAGTTGGGCATGTGTGATATCTATGCTCCAACTTGAGGGGGAGTGTTGAGAGTACTTGACCAATAGGGGCATATCTGTCTATTTCCTTTATTATTTTATATATTGCAGCAATAAGGGTAATATTGTAATTTTGGCATTTTTGGCTTTATTATAAATAGATAGCTTGGGGTCACATAGACCTAACCAAGCATTCAGTTCAGTTTTTTCTCTCAGCACAGTTGCATCTAATGGATTTCTTGACAACACTACCCAGAAGCAGCAACCAGACAGAGAAAGCGGAAGAGGATGGAGGATGAACCTATGAGAGGAATGTGAAAAAGCCAGAAAAAGAGACCCTGGAAGAGTGTGCTGAAGCAAATGGGTATCCACCATGCACAAATTTTTTGTACATTTTCATCGGTAATTCTTGGAAGGTTCTGAGTATTACTTATTCCAGGTGCGAAGCCAAGCCTTGGACTCCAAATGAACAATCATCAAGAGCCTAGTGGATCGAAACCCTTTTTTTCCTGAGATATTTCACTTTTTTACGAGACTTTTCGTTTATAAGGAACTTTTGAATTTCGCCTTCATCGAGTTTCAAGCAACCATCTTTGTCCCTCTCGGTTTGATAAAGGTTCCAGTTCGACATGGACTAACAAATGATGACCATATAAGCTCACAACCACTACACTCTATTAAGTCATTTGACCCACAATATTCTTAATTCTGATGGCCATCACTTCACATTCTGCCACATTTTTAGCAATATGTTAAGGTGCTGCTGTTTCGACAAAAAAAAAATGTATTAAGCTGCTGCTGTCACTTCATATCCTTCATTCAGCAATGTGCTTATAATATATGTATCCTACGGAATACTGATGCCCTCAAAATGATTACTTGGTAGCTAGGCGTTATTTTCCGACCAGAACAAGAAGCTTGATTCCTAAACTGAGAAGAACCTGGGCTGTTCATCTCTGGAGGTCGGGTCTTCATTGAATGTTCAACCCACTAAACGCATGAGAAACAACTTTTCTTTAATGTCTAGGGTCATCAGTGAATTCATGAACTCGCAAAACCATTTATAGGAAAATGAAATTGAATGACAGGGCAATACAAGCTCCAACGGGAAGATTACTCAATCCTGGCATATGATTGCTGAGAAACCAACAAAGTGAAGATAAGCTACGAGCGTTAGCAAATTTAGAACACGACAGAACTAGTGAGAGGACCACTATAACAATGAGAAAACAACATAATATGAAGCAAGCATGTATAGAACTAGGAAGTCGAATTGGGTTTAGCAACAGCTTGCGGAAATTTCCTTGAGACTTGTTTTGCATCTGGCACCAATGACAAAGCAAATAAAATCGTAGGATGCTGCAAGCAGCAAACCAAAGAAATGCCGTTAGGTCATTCAAACTCAACCTTTTGCATTTCCAAAGAAATCCCTCTGCTTTGTCGTCTATCACTTCAAATTGAATTTGGCAGTATATGCTTGTAGTCATAAGATGGGGATCATTGTATTCGAATGTACTAAATTAATGTGATAACAATCTATTTTTTTCTTGCTGCTGATTATAGCCCTAGGCAGAAAAAAGAAAACAGAGAAAGAAGAGAGAGAGAGAGAGAGAGAGAGAGAGAGAGAACATAATTACAAATAAAAAACTCAATAAATTGAGACACATAAAAAATAAATCAACTACAGTTACACCTGCCAATCATGGGACGGCCACAGATGATGGAAACATATAAAGATCACAGATACAAGGAGTAAACTACGATAGGAAGGTCCAGATACATGCTATCAAAAGAAAAGTAGCGTCATCAAGCACAAAAAGGACAAGGGAACAAAAAATGGTTTCTTTCCAAATACTATATCTCTCTTTCTTTGTTGAATGACTCAACATTCTAAAGACCCTTCAAGTTCAAGCTCTTTAGGAACATAGCTTGACATTATTCACGCACACTGATGCAGAATTCATAGGCTCTGACATCCTTAGTTATGTAATCTGTCAAGAGGAGCATTCTAACAAAGCAACTTTCTCAGTTGGCCACTAACTCGTTTAAGTCCGCATGGATAAGAAAATTCCAAGACATACCTTCGTTTTGGACCTTCAAGACTAAAGCATGACATACACAGGATCATCTGCATTTTGTCAGTAACAAGTCTGAGCTAGAGTGAAATTATGAGACCATCTGCTTATCGACCCCATCATCTAAGTCAAGGATGTAGAGACTAAATTGCCTGTGATCTCTGGCAAGCACACGAGAAATTCTTGTGCATTTTAATCTCAAGATCCTCAAAGAAGTCAACCCTGTAATGTGGCAATCTCCGCTCAAACTTTCACAGTGGGTGAAATCCAACTCTTGAAGCTTCTCAAGATCTTTTATGGCTTCAGGAAATTCTTCTAGGTAAGTATGAACCATCTTTAGCACTTCAAGATTTTTCAAATCCTTGACAGAAGAAGGCAATTCATTGATTAAGGTGTACGACAGGTCCATTTGCCTTAGCCAAACAAGCTTTCCTATGAAATGTGGAAGTCCTTTTAGCTGTCTGCAACTTCTTAAAGTAAGCTTCTGAAGATTCTTTAACAATCCAATGGACTCGGTGACTTCACCCAATACTTCACATTCGCAAGCACTGAGAATTTCAAGTGCTGGCAGAGAGCCTTCCTCGAAATGAAGTCTTTCAATTTTAGTTCCATCAATGAGGAGCTCTTTCAATGCTTTCAGGGAACACAGTGCTTGCGGAAAATGTTTAATTGATAAGCAATGCTTCATGTTTAAGGAAACTAGATTGTCTAATCTAGAAATGGATTCATCAATTGTTGAAGTTGCTAATAAACAACCTTCCAGGATCAAGCATTCTAAGGACATTGAGTTAGGGAATCGCAGAGATGCAGTGATCCAAGGACAACCTTTTAGGTTCAGGACTTTCAAACTCCGCATTCTGCAAAAACAATATGATTCATATGTTTAGTTACGACAACTATAATGTCTCGTTTGTACATAAAAGAAGCGCACAAGCACAAACGCGACTTACCAGCATCAGATTTTCCCAGTCTTCCAAGTTCAATGTGACTCGGCTTGAACATAAGTTGAGAATTACCAGTTTCTTCATATCCAATGCAAACAAATTAGATTTCTCAGGGCATCCATGCCAATCAAGCCATAATAGGTTTGAAAGTAGAAGATTCTCAGGATTTCCCTCAATACCAACATTATTCAATTCAAGAAACTTCAGATTTGATAGATGATGAAAATTGTCGTAATGAGGACAGTCGCATTCCGGTTCATCTTGATTATAATTGGGGGTTACACGGAGAGCTTCAACATTTTCAGTACACTGCCAATTCGGTGGAAAAAAGTGAAGTGCGAAATTAGAACAAAGATATTCAATGAAACAATATTGTAATCATCTGTCTAGAGGAAAACATAACAAGAATTCTGTAGAAATCTCAGTGTGATTTTACCTTCTTTTTTCGCAATGTTGTTTGGACATCTTTGTAATCCCATAGCCTACTGCGCTTCCCGGGGTTTTTAGGATTTTCCTTCTTCACAAGTTCTCTTCCTAGGATTTTTAATTGGTCATGCATCCAAAACTCTTTTTCTTCGCTAATTTTTATGAAAGACCTATTTTGAAGTTCATGAACACCTCTATTTGGGAAACGTTTATGGGCATCCCACATGTAATAGGGGATTGTCTTATCAACCCCTATAAAGAAACATGCTATATCAAGGAATATATCTTTTGTGTTTTCGTCCAAAAGATCATAACATGCCTTCAACATTGGTTCCACTCCTTTTTCCAGCTCTCCTTTTAATTTATCCAAAGTCTCTCTCCATATTTCTGGGCTCTTCCCATTCAGATATGACCCCACAATTTCAATAGCAAAAGGAAGCTTCCCAACGGCCGAAATGATTTCGGTTGGCAGAGAACCGTAGTCATCGGGATGACCCGGTCGAAAAGCATGCTTACAGAAAAGTTCTAGAGCATGATTTTCATTCATAGGTAAGGCCTCGTGTTCATTGATTTCTTGAATCTTGTAATGCTTAATAACATCTTTCCTTCGGGTTGTTAGGACGATCCTACTTCCCGGACCAAACCAAGTCAGATTCTCGGCCAGTGGTTTGATTTGTTCGAAGTCGTCCACTTCATCCAAGACATTGAGAACTCTTTTTCGTCGGAATTGGCATTTTATAACTTTGGTGCCTTGATCGGAGAATTTCACTTCTTGGAAATTTCCTCTCTTGAGATCTCGAATTAACTTATTCTGCAGAGATACCAAATTTTTTTGTACAATCTCATCCCGGACGTCTTTAAGGAAACTGCAAGCATCAAAGAAGTGACTGATTTTGTTGTTGTAAGACATATTGGGTAGACCGCCCAAGATGGGCCAAACCCGGCCCGTGAGCCACAAGGGCCCACGAGGTAGTTATTTGCCTATCTATAATAGAAGGCACCCCTTGGAAAACAGACGTGATTTTCCATATATGCAAACACACTCTTTTGATACAACGTATTCTCTGCTTTTGCTTCGGAATGCACGCGAGTACGAAAGACATTCGAAGAACTCTCAAGCGCAAAGTGGCACTTAATCTGTGACAATACCGGGTATGTTCATTGTGTGATATACCTGTACGATCGGTGATACAAGTTGATGGTCCTCGGGCACGTTTTCCGCATTGATTGAATTCGTTCCGAATATGTTTCGAACGTGACGATCGGGAATTCAGTTTTCCTAACATTGGTATCAGAGCCCGTTTACTTGTTTTCCGATCATGCATATGTATCGTCTGAAGTGTATACTGCTTGTTTTTTCGTTTTGGCCTCGTTTTTGTTCGTTTTCTTCGCGTCGCCGAACTGTTCATACATGTTTCGATTTTTGTATTTCGTAAAAACTTGAATTTTATTGTATAAACAGAAAGGGCTCGTCGAGACGAGCAAAATGATGGGCGGCGCGTCGCCAGAGGACGCCGCACGCGCCTTCACGCGCCGACAAGGGCAGTGCGCGCGACGGCGTGTGCGTGCCACGCGCGGCCATGCGAAACTTCGTGTCGGTTGCCGCTAACCGCCGATGATGACGTCATCGTGACGTCATCAGAAAGCGGACCATTGACCCGACCCGAGACCCCGACCCGGTTGACCGTTGACCTGACCCGTTGACCCGACTCGGTTGACCGTGACCGAACCGGTTGACCGTTGACCGGTCAACGGTCGGAACAGTCAAACCGGTCGAACCGGACCGGTCAAACCGGTCGGACCGGACCGGTTCAAACCGGCAGAATGACCCAGTTATTTCTTTTGGCCCGTTCGAGCTCATTTGAACTCCGATTTGGGCGTTCTTGGTATCGACGTGCTCGTATCGGAATGCTCTACGTTATGGTGTATTCATATTACATTTTTGCTGCACTTATGAATGTGAAAATGCACAATAAACCCTATGTACACGTACTTAGAGGTATATTTTTTGGCATTTTCTCTAGTATTTCTCTATAGTTTTTTGAAATACAAATGCTAGATCATATGTATATGAATAAGCATTCCTTATCTTAATGTATCATGGATTATAAGTAATCCTTCGTTCTGCATTCGTTGCAGGAACAATGGTACGTTTGAGACGCACTCCGATAATCCCAAGAACGGCAGCTCAAAAGAAGAAGCTTGAAAACCTAAGAGTCAAGCTAGCTCTTTATCGATGGGACGCTAAAGATGATATGATGACACATATCATCAAGGTCAACAAAATGATACAGGATATCATTTGGAACGGTTTTGTAATGCCGGAATATGTAATGGTCGGAGCCCTAAAATGCACTATGCCTGATGAGTTGGGAAGAATGCTTGATAAGGTTAAAGAAACCTTAAATGGTCCAAGCTATAAGATGCTTGTGGAGAATTTTGTGCAAGAATACATAAGGGTTGGGGCAAGAAGAACATCAACCCTTGCATTGAATGGGTCTCGGCGCAAATCATGGCCCGAATCTAGAGGTTTTTCGGGAGCCTCTGTTTATGTTCCAAAGAAAATAAAACTTTCTAAAGAATTTTATGAGTCCTTTCCCATCTATGTGTTAGATTGGTATACTTGATGTTATTCTTTTGGGATTTGGAATCAATTCTGTATATGTTTCAAGTTGTTATTACATGTTCTTAAATATTTATGAATGTGTTATGAAATACATATATGGCTATGAATTTTTGTGATTTCTCATTTTATATTGCCATATCACATGTTATGTTATATGTGGGAAGTTCTTCAAAGTTTGTATAACTTTTGAAGAATCAATTTCTTTACATAAATGATTATGTTAATGGTAATTTCAAATTGGGTTTTTTAGACGATGATTGGGAACATAGTGAACTTTCGACTCTAAGACCTTTTGTGAAACTATTCATTAATATGATTAGTTTATGTAATCATGATGCTGATGAAGCATTTAGATAGGCTTTAATAACTCGTGCGTATGTGTCTGAAATGTTCAGATACGATGGCTTCAGCAACTAAGAACATAGTGGCTGAACTTAATAAGGGAGAAAAATTGAATGGTGACAATTATGAGATTTGGAGTCTCAAGATTTAATATGTGCTGGAAGAGCAAGAGGCACTCGAAGCTTTTAACCAGATTATGGAAGAACCTGAGGATGGGACAACTGCCCAACACAAGAGGGACAGAGATGCCTTTGCTGTTTGGAAAAGAAAGAACTCTCTTGCTCGCATTACGTTGCTAAGCAGCATGGACAATGACATCATGTGAGAGTTCGGACGTTTCCAGAGCGCCAAAGACATGTGGACTGCACTGGCATCAAGATTTGGTCGAACTTCTGTGACCAAACTAAGACAACTCACTATCCGTTTCGACTCATATAAGATGTCTCATAGAAAGACCATGAAACAACATTTGAGGCATATGGCGAATATGATTAGTGAGCTAAAGGATGCTGGGCACATACTCACTGATAAACAGCAGGTGCAGGCAGTGATCCGCTCCTTGCCTCAAAGCTGGGAGCATATGAAGATCCATTTGACCCACAATGAGGGTATTAAGACCTTCGAGGATGCTATGCGGCATCTTGAACTGGAAGAGGATTGCCTCATGGCGGTTAAACCAGAAACTGATATTTACTTTGCTGGTTCTAGTTTGCATGGAGTTTCGGGCTCCAAGAGGAAGCACCCTACTAGGTCAAAGAAGTGGAAAGGCAAGGGGCCAAGTCCTTCAGGGAAGAAGCAGAGGCTCAACCAACGGGAGAAAGGAAAGCGTCCTTTCAAGAAGAACATTTCAAGAGTGAAATGTTTCAACTGTGACAAGAAGGGTCACTTTGCTCGCGACTGTGGCGAGCCAAAGAAGGTAGAAACCCTTAGCATTCATGAAAATGCTACTTATGTGTCTAGTTCAGTGTTTCTAACAGAATCTAATCCTTTGTGGACTGTAGACTCGGGAGCCACAGACCATGTAGCGAAGGATAGAGGAGCTTTCGTGGAGTTCCGACGAGTTCCACAAGGAACGAAGTGGATATACGTGGGGAACAATTCAAGAGTGGAGGTCAGAGGCATTGGCACCTGTCAACTACTTATGCGCGGTGGACGCAAATTGTTCCTACATGATGTGCTATTTGCTCCAGAGATTCGTCGGAACTTAGTTTCAGTGTTGGTTTTAGTTAGACTTGGTTTCAATGTAAACTTCCATAACAATGGTGTAGACTTGTGTTTAGGTACAAGTTATTATGGTTCCGGATATTTCTTAGATGGTTTCATTGTATTAGATGTTGACTATTGTGAAGTTAATGTTAGTTATTCCTTATTTACATCATCTGATTCTTATGAGAATGATGTGAACGTGTGGCATGCTAGACTTGGTCATATTGGCCAACAAAGAATGAATAGATTGGCTAAAGATGGCTTATTAGGCAATATTAAAAAGGTTGATTTGCCCATATGTGAGCATTGCCTAGAAGGAAAAACAACGCGGAAACCATTTGGAAAAGGAACAAGAGCTGAATTTCCTTTGCAATTAATCCATACTGACATCTGTGGTCCAATGAATATAAAAGAACACGGGTCTGTTTATTTCATCACATTCATTGATGATTATACTCGATTCGGACACGTCGATTTGATTTCTCATAAGTTCGAAGCTTTAAATTGCTTCAAAAGATTTATGAGCTTAGTGGAAAATCAATTAGACAAGAAAATAAAAGCATTAAGATCCGATCGAGGTCGAGAATATCTGTCTGATCAGTTCAGAAATCTATGTGATGAAAAGGGAATAGAAAGACAACTGACTATTCCATATACTCCTCAACAAAATGGTGTTGCGGAAAGAAGAAACAGAACTCTAATGGAAATGGTTAGATCAATGATGGCACATGCTAACTTGCCAATCACCTTTTGGGGTGATGCTTTGTTGACTGCTGCCTACATACTTAACCGTGTGCCTTCTAAATCAGTTGCTTCTACTCCATATGAGTTATGGACAGGCAGAAAGCCTGATTTAAGTTTTCTAAAACCTTGGGGTTGTGCTGCCTATACTCGTGAGTCTTCTCACAAGTATGGAAAATTAGGCCCAAGAGGCAAAAAGAGTATTTTTATAAGATACTCAGAGCACTCAAAAGGATATGTATTCATAGGTGAGCAAGAAAGCGGAAGTATAACTGAATTTGAATCACGGGATGTCACATTTTTAGAGAATGAATTTCCTAAAAAGGGCGAAGTAGGTGGTGATTACTCACTATACGAATCTGTGGATCGTGATAGTGAAGTTAGTGGGAGCATTGTGACAAATGGAGAGTTGAATGCAACCCAGTCTCAATTGCAACCACTTAAAGAGACGACACCACCATTATCTCATTCGAGTGGGAGCGCAATGGAACGTGGTGAATCATCAGGAGTACAGCATTCCATATGACAGTCAAGTCGTAATAGGATTCCTTGTCGACGTTTTGACATTGAAGGAGAAGCTTTCATGATCGCCCCACAAGATGAAGATGAGCCGAAGAATGTGAACGATGCTCTAAAGTGCCCTGATAAGGAAGAATGGATACATGCAATGGAAGAGAAAATGGAGTCATTAAGATCAAACCAAGTTTGGGAATTGGTTGACCTTCCAAAAGGACGCAAAGTCATTGGGAACAAGTGGGTTCTCAAAATAAAGCGTAAGGCTGATGGCTCAATAGAGAGGTATAAGGCTCGCCTTGTGGCGAAAGGATATAATCAACAGGAAGGAGTTGACTTTGAAGAAACTTTTTCTCCTGTGGTTAGATTTACCTCTATTCGCCTTATTCTGGCAATAGTAGCTAGTATGGATCTGGAATTACATCAAATGGATGTAAAGACTGCATTCCTCAATGGAGAATTAGAGGAAGAAATTTATATGGAAAAACCTGTTGGATTCATTACAAAAGGCCAGGAGCACAAAGTGTGTCGACTATTGAGGTCGATATATGGCCTTAAGCAGTCTTCGAGACAATGGTATATACGTTTTCACAATGCCATAATGGCATATGATTTTGTAATGATTAGTGAAGACAATTGTATATATATCAAAAGATCCAAAGATCAATTTGTGATCTCATCATTATATGTTGATGATATACTAATTGCCGGAAGTAGTATGGAGTTGGTTAATACAGTCAAGAATTGGTTATCTTCCAATTTTGATATGAAAGATATGGGTGAAGCTGCATACATTCTTGGAGTTAAGATTTCAAGAGATCGCTCAAAGAAATCTCTATCCCTTTCACAAGAGACGTATGTGAATAAAATCCTTGAGCGATTTCGTATGCAAAGGCGTAAACCAATAGATACTCCTATTGCAAAAGGCGAAGCATTAAGCGGCTGTAATGTGTCTAAGACTTCACAAGAAAAGGAGCAAATGGAACAAGTTCCATATGCTAGTGCTGTCGGAAGCTTGATGTACGCTATGATGTGTACAAGACCTGATATTTGTTATGCAGTTGGAATGGTAAGTAGATACCAATCCAATCCAGGTCAAGCACATTGGATCGCCGTCAAAAGAATCCTAAGATATCTAAAGGGAAGTGCCGACTATGCGCTGACTTATCAAGGAAGTGATCTACACCTTGAAGGCTATACTGATGCTGACTGGGGAGGAGATTTAAAAGAAAGGAAATCTACTTCTGGATACGTGTTCTTACTGAATAATGGCGTCATATCTTGGAGCAGTAAGAAACAACAGTGTGTAGCCTTATCTACAATGGAAGCCGAGTTCGTGGCTCTATCAGCAGCGGCACAAGAAGCTGTTTGGCTTAAAAGCTTTTTGGATCACTTAGGTGTAACTGAGAATGCTGCAAACCCAGTATTGGTCTATTGTGATAGCCAAGCAGCAATAGCGTACACTAAGGATCCCAAGTACCATGGAAAGACCAAACATATAGATATCAAATATAACTATGTCAAGGACATGGTTGCACGAAAGGAAGTGAACGTGAAGTACATATCTACACAAAGGATGATAGCAGATCCTATGACGAAGCCGATTCCTAGAGAAGTTTTCCATGGTCATGTGAGATCTCTAGGACTGTGTAGAATATGATGTACTGAATATTGTAATTTTCCCAGAATGTTCACTATTAATGAAGTTTGTTATTATTAATGCTTATAAGTTTGTATGACGTTTGTGAATGTCGATGCTGAGTGCATTATATTGAAAAGGTATGTCGGATAGATGAGAGATTAGCCCACTCACACGGGTAATCGCCTCTACTCACTGTGTTATCTAGCTGATAATTGAGAGCTCAAGCTTGAAGCATGGACGTCGCCTTAACAGAATGTTAAGATGAGGACATATAGATTATTATGTCCGAAAGTGAAATGACCCACATATTTCACTTTACCTGTCTTTAATGCCAGATGTGAGTTCTGATAAATGCTTATGAATAGAGTAGATTTGTGAACTCAAGTTAGACATTGAGTATGTCTAAACTATCATCTGTACGGTATTGAGAGTAAAGACATGCGCTCTATGGGAAAAGGAAAGAATACCGTAATACGTATTTCATATTACGTATGCATGGGACGACCGATAAGAGTTGGCAAAAAATTTATGATCTCAATTTTTAAGTCGTGTGAGACTCTTGAAGAAAATAGTTCTTCTCAATTAAAGTGCCTTCACGACTCTTACTTATTCTCGAAATTTCTATTAAGTGTTTGCTATCTTAGGATGTTGCCGATGATCATGATAATTCGGTCTAACGGGGCATTTCTAGAAAAGCGAGTTGGACTGAAATGGAGAGGTTTAAGGAAAGAGGAAGATCAATTTAATTTATGATGTCACATTCTATATTTGTATTCACAGGTCGACCAATTATGATTTTGAGTAAATCATAATTGTGAATACAATATACGAGATACTAAAAGAGATCAAGAGAGATAAAAATGTGACTGATTGATCTAGGGAACTGCATACTAATTCTATTCTGGATAATGCCCAATTTGAGATGTTATATATTCCTAATAAATGTATAACAACGAGCTCTCGTAGTATGCTGGTCGCACGGATTATTTGTCAATATGAACTTTGCAAGGAAGAGAGTTGTGTTTAGCCCATTGTGGGCGAGTGGGAGATGTAAAACATATTGGGTAGACCGCCCAAGATGGGCCAAACCCGGCCCGTGAGCCACAAGGGCCCACGAGGTAGTTATTTGCCTATCTATAATAGAAGGCACCCCTTGGAAAATAGACGTGATTTTCCATATATGCAAACACACTCTTTTGATACAACGTATTCTCTGCTTTTGTTTCGGAACGCACGCGAGTACGAACGACATTCGAAGAACTCTCAAGCGCAAAGTGGCACTTAATCTGTGACAATACCGGGTATGTTCGTTGTGTGATATACCTGTACGATCGGTGATACAAGTTGATGATCCTCGGGCACGTTTTCCGCATTGATCGAATTCGTTCCGAATATGTTTCGAACGTGACGATCGGGAATTCAGTTTTCCTAACAGTTGTATACCACCTTTGCGAGAGTGGTTTTGCCAACTCCGGGAAGACCACACACTGCAGCCACGCATCTTCCCTCGGCAACTTGTCCGTCTTCGTTATGGACACCAAGCTTTCGCATCATCTCCTGCACGTTGCTGTGTATTCCAACTAAATTTTCAGTCACGTCTTCCTTACCCATCTCCAAGAGTTGCCAAAGTTTAGAAACGACATTCCTTAGAAGCTCGTGATACCTACAAAATAAAAATAAAAGTAATGGGCACTAGGTATTTCCTGTGTACCAATATGTTCGGGTTGATTTCGGGAAACTTAGAGAAGATACCGTGATAGTAAGGGTCTGTATAGCAACGTTGCTGTTCCCAGAAACAATTTATGATCAGAAATAGTTTTTTCTATTTCTTGGAATAGTTTCTGAGCAAAAAATAGCCTTTAGTAACTGTACAAAATTTCTATTCCTGGAATAGAAAAAGAATAGAAACGCGTTTAGGGCGCGAATGATCCATTTCTATTCCATGGACGAGTTACCGGTGGAGGACGGCGGGTAGCGGTAGGGGGCGGAGGATGGTGGTCGGTGGCGGTAAAGGGTGGCGGCCGGCAGCGGGAGGCAGTGGAGCACGGCGGTCAGCGGCGGAGCACGGTGGCGTCGGGCGGCCGTGACGACAGCGGGGGGTGGCGGCGGGAGGTGGTTGGCGGCGGAGGGTAGCCAGCGTCGGTCGATGGAGCACGGCGGCCGATGGCGAAGGATGGCAGCCGATGGTAAGTGACCGTCGGTGTCGAGTGGCTAGGGGCGGGTGGTGGCCAGCGGCCGAGGGTAGCCAACGCCAGGTGGTGGCCGGCGTCGGGCAGTGGAGCACAATGCCAGGCGGCGGAGGATGGCGGCCGATGGTGGGTGGTCGGTGACGGTGGAGGACGGCGACCTGTGGTGGGTGATCGCCGACATCGGGTGGTTGGCAGAGGGAGGCCGCCAGCGCGGCGTCGGGCGATGGAGCATGGCGGCCAGCGGTGAAGGACGGCAGCCGGTGGTGGGTGGCGACAAGCGTCGAGTGGCGGAAGACAGTGGTCGACGACAAGAGGCGGCCGTCGGGCGAGAGGTGGCCGGCGGGCAGTGGCGGAAGGCGGGCGGTAGGTGGCGGCGAAGGACGGCGAGAGGAGGCGGTGGGCGGGTTGCGGCCGATGGATTGTTTCTTGTTTTTGGAGGATTCCAGAAAAAATCGTTTCTTGTTTTTGTTCCAGAACTAAAGATGTAGATTTTTTTTTGCTTCTTGTTTTTGTTTCAAATCTATTCCGGGATCACTTTTTTGTTTCAAAAATAAAAAAGTAGATTTTTTTTACTAAATGAATTTCTGTTCTTTTTCTATTTCGGAGAACAAAAGAACAGAAAAATAAAGAAACATAAATGTTAAGTAACAGACTCTAATTAAGCCAAGAAAAAGCATGTGGATGAGTACAAGAACATTAAAGAGCAGACAAGACAATATATGCAGATTCACTGCTATAAATAAATAGATACAAGCCACTTCCCTTGTCTATTCCAAGGCTAAACAAGTAGAGTAAGAGCAATAGCGATCAGATTTACCCACTTCTGACATCCTCCAATTCGAATCCCTTTACCCCAGCAACATTTGCCAGAGCAGTCTTCCACTTACTGATTGTCTCGGTATCACTGCGCTTTTCTTGATCGACGAAGGACTCTCCATATGTTCCTTGCTGGCGGCAAACAACGCCCGGCTTGACGCCGTAGAAAATGGGAAGAATGGTTTTTTCTGACTCCACCATTTGGGCCACTTCCATCAGGCAAAGCTGGGCTGGAGGCGAAGTTGTCGGACAAGATAGGGATGCGGACGTCGGAACGCTTGATGGCTTGCACGATCTTGGTATCGATCCTTTCACCATACTCGATCTCTTCGCGGTCTCTGAATACTATAAACCCAAGCCTGTGAGGTGGTCGGAGAAGCACTCGAGGAAGTTGCGGCGAACATCCGGTCCTCTGAAGCTGAGGAACACTTGGTAGTTACAAACGGCCAACTCTTCAGCAAAAGCATTAGCTGACGATGGGCAGCCATTGCGAACACAAACACCCATCTGCATACACAGACTCTGGCTCGAATGGAGATCCAAATTATCAAACTTCGATAACTGTAAAAACGTTCGTTCGAGCTCACAAATCTTTATCTAAAGCGTTGACCTCGTTGGCACTCTCAGTCTTAGTCTTCTTTTCTTTTTCTTTTATTCGTTTTGATTTTTGGCAGTTCTATCCTCCCAATGATCGGATGAGGATCTCCCAAAGGGAAATTCTTACACCAGGTAACACCATATAGAGAAGTTACTATATTATCTTAATATATCTACAAGATAGAATTAGGATAATCGAAACTGATGGGTCCAATATGAATTTTACATGACATTAGAAATTCAATGCAACATATCTATTAAATTCATTGAATAATTGCAATGAGTCAGCAACATGCTGCATTTGAATTACCTATGTGTGATGCAATATCTTATCATCTTTCACGCGCGTTTGCACCTTTTCTTTTCATAAACAAATAGCTCATACTTTGCAATCCTTTATGTACATGAGGTCGTAAATTTTGCCAGCTGTTCAGAAGTGGGAGAATACATTTCAACACCAACTCCCATCCACCTCTATAGTTTTTGTTTCTCCTTTTTCCATAATCTATTTTAGGCCTTTGTCTATGCATGTGTCCCTAACTCAGATTAGTTGCACACACACTTGATGGGATTTGAACGGATGGCTTTAAGTTCTTAAGTTGAAAATAGCCGATGCCGTAACCAACTAATCAATCCTGGGATTTGTTTTTCTCCTTTGTTGTACTTTTTTTCACTCTTTTCTACCTCTAATCCAACTTTTCTTATTTATTGATGCATGTTATTTTGTTCTTCTTCTTCTTCTTCTTTTTATTGATAATTAATTCGTGTTCAAGTTTACCCCAAATAACCTATGGTTGGTTACATCTAGCCCCACTAAAGATTATTATATATAAACACACACAAAAGAGACATACGAATTAATAATTCATACTAGGCTCATTCTAATTTAATTCTCTTCAATTAGTCCATGTACCTCCAAGCTAATAACATAAGAAGACGTTAGACTTTATCCCGAAAAATGGGTTACAGTTTTATCTGATCTATGAAATTTCAGTTTCACTCTTTTGGATTATGCTATATTTCATTTAAGTAAAGTGGGCTCTGTACTTTCCCTGAGAAAATATTTTCCAAATGTACATAAAAAATAACAATCATACAATCCGCTCACCTTGTTTTTTTTTCCCTTGTTAACTAGGAGGGAAATATTACGTCCAAAAAAAAAACTAGGGGGGAAATAGTACCTTTTGATGTGTTCGTGATAAGTCCAATATTATTTTCGACAAAGTACAAACACCAATTCATTCATTTTAATACTCAATTTGTTTTTCTTTTGTATTTTTGCTGAAAAAAAAGTATTCTAATGCTAATTGACTTTAAACAGAGGATTAACATGTTTAAATAACTGCATCAGTAATTGTTTCTATTGTGTCAAAGGAATGGATAATATATCAAGAAAGTGCCCATTTTTAATTTCTTATATAGTATATGTATAGTTAAAGCCGGAACGAAGAGAATGGTTGTTTATATGCTCACCATGTGTTACTTCATTTTGCCTTTGTGATTGCCACCTAGCATGACATGTGGCACAGTTTTGCAATGTGAGCCATATTCAACCAATAAGATTTTAACTTAGGGTGTATTTGTTTCGCGAAAAACTTAATGATAAAGGAAAATATTTTCCGGAAAATCATTTTTCAGGAAAACGCTTAGTTTTCCTTTGTTTGATGATACACGATGGAAATCGTTTTCCGATGTTTGGATATCATTAGAAAATGATTTCAATCTCATGACTTTATTTCAGACAAACAAAAAAATCGAATTTTTTATTTCTCATTATATTTTTTCTTTTCTTTTTCTGAAAAAATTAGAATTTTTTTATTAATTTTTAATTTTCCTTTTCTCTTTTCTTTTTTCTTTTTTCTTTTCTTTCCTTTTCTTTTTCGCCCTTACTCCGCTACGACCGGTCGGCGACGGCCACCGGCGAGCTTGAGGCTCCCCCGACAATGGCCACATGCGAGCTTGAACTCGCTTGGATTTGGCGAGCCGCAAGCTCGCTGGCCTCGGCCGAGCTCGCTTGGATCTGGCGAGTCGCGAGGTCACCAGCCTCAGTGGAGCTCGGGTTCGCCGCTAGAGACCGCGGGGTCACCAGCCTAGGGCAAGCTTGAGGCTCGCTGCCAGAGGTTGCCATGAGCTCGCCGGCCGTCGCTATGTTCGGCGACCAGCCGAGGAAGAAGAAAAAGAAAAAGGAAGAAAAGAAAAAAAAATAACATAAAAAGAAAGAAAAAAGAATAAATAAATATATAATAATTTGATATTTTATAAAAATATTTTTTTTAAAAAATAAAATATAAATAAAACTTCGAATTTTTTAAATAAATATTTTTATAAGAACAAACGTTTCATTAATTAAAGACCCGAGCCCGAGCATCGAAGACTTGCACACAGCCTTTGTGGACTCGGGCAAGAGGGTAGAGACTAGAGCTAAAGCATCAGGGACCTGAGCACGGCCTTTATGGATCCGAGTTCGGGTGCCGGAGCATCAGGTACGAGCACCAGGGGTTTGGGCTCAGCCTCGATGGACCCGGGCATGAGGGCTAAGGGCCCGAGCCCTAGATAGTAAGGTCTCGAGCCCGGCCGCCAAGACCTGGTCTTGAATGTCGGTACTCAAGAACCAAGGTTGGGGATCTTGGGATTTTCGTGCCCAAAGCGTAGAGTTTCAGGTCCAATCGCCGATAGCTGTCATACTTCGGAAAACGTTTTCCGATTCTTTCAAAGAGGAAATTATTTTCTTGAATTTAAGCTTTAGTAAGGAAACATTTTTCGTTGACCACAAAAACATTTTCCGTTGACTCATTTTCCTAAGCCAACCAAACGTCGAAAAATGAGGAAAGTGTTTCCCGGAAAATGTTTTCTGCGAAACAAATAGACACTTAATGATTCATCATATGCTATTTTCTATGTCATAGTGGATTTTTATTTTAAATAATATATAAAGATGAAATATATGAATATTCCCTTCTTATTGAGTTTAAGCTTGAAAAACAAGGATAAATTAGAGAAAGTATTTTCAATTATAGTCTACCATCTCCCAATATCAATATTCTATGTCAATTGAGCTAAAATGTTATAAAATGAATAAATTTGGAAGCAGACCAAGATTTTATCTCTAATTAAGTTTAAAATTTTAAAAAAGATAAATTAGGGAAAGTATTTGAGTATTTAAGTCATTCTCTTCACTAAGATGGCTTGTTTTGAATGCAGTTTCTTATAGGGGTGTGCAAAAAACCCAGGACCGCCCAGGACCGCCCAGGACTGGACCGGAACCGGTGGTTCCCAAGGGGACCGGTCCGGTTCCCGGTTCCAATTTTTTGGAACCGGTGGGTATCGGTCCGGTTCCCGGTGTGGAACCGCCCACCCGGACTGGACCGGTAATATAATAATAATATATTTATTTTTTAAAATTTTAATTAAAAAAATCTGACAAAAAAAAATTTAAAAAAAAAGAAAAACGTAACTAGACACTCATAACTCTCTGCTCTCTTATCTCTGGACACTCATTTGATGGGTACCCACTTGATTTATGGATGATGTGGTTAATAGAACCGATCATAGTATAGGAATTGTATGGAAAGTTATGTTCTTTTCTTTTTGTTCCGTTGATCCGATGTTGGTCCATATATTTTTTTTTATTTGTCCAGGAAAACTTAGTGGGACCGGTTCCATGGACCCGCCCGGGAACCGGACCGGACCGTCCGGTTTCCGGGCGGATCCATGGAACCGACGGGTGGTCCTCGGTCCCAAAATTGAGGACCAACACTGTGAGGGTTGGTCCTAGGGTTAGGGGGTGGACCGGCCCAACCCGGACCATGCTCACCCCTAGTTTCTTAGATTAATATATATACAACGAAAATTTTGAGTCACAAAATTCTATATAAATATTTCAGTACTTAACAATTCTTTTTGACAAGCGAAATTGTCCAATCAAATTAGAATCTATATTCATGGCAAAACAATTAAACTTGAACAAAGGTACTAGTCGATGGTAAATCAAACTAACATTTATCTATATCACATTCAAAATGGATTTGACATTAGTTTTAATCAAAGTAAATGTTGGTCAAAATTCGAATTGTAGATAGACAATCGCAATTTAGCAATGATGAATTACTGCTCCCATACATTTTATATAATAGGATGCCTCTGTATTCATTTTGGGACGGACATAGGAAGACTAAAAATTCATTGGAGTTGCTTCTTGAGAATTAAGAACTTCAACATGAAATCCTGGCGGATTTTGGTAATCAACAACTCAAAATTTTGGTAATGGAAACCTTGACTATCTTCGACTTGAAGTCAAGCCTCTGGTTCGTGCTAAGGAATCACCAGATCAGGCTATCTTATTCGAGATCAAGTGACTAAAGCCCTTAAATTGTGCTTATGTGAAGAACCAAATATAGTACAATTTGTTTAGAATCAAGCCATGAAGCCTCTTGCATCGCATTCAAAGACGACCATTTAGACCCTCGGGTTGTCTTTTCATTACTAAAGGAAAAGAGCAAGAGAGATTCTTCATTTCATCAGGAAATTATAAAGGTTTAATACCATGAAAAATCCAAATTGGTACACTTATAACCAATTTACTCCAAACTAATTTTTGGGTCACC